ATGGGGACTAAACATATGAGCCGGGGTTTAACGGACGGAAATACACCCCCAACTACGTGTAGGATGAAGGAAAACGCCAGGAAGTAAAAAAAAAAACACAGGGGTAAGTGAATCAAACCCCCCCCAACTAGCGACACTATTCGACAGGCCCATCACCCGCTAAACCTGCCTCCCGAGAACAGGCTGGCAAAGCCACAGAAAAGTCTCCCGCCAGCTGTCTTTCCACGCTTTACTAGACTAAGCTAGAACGGAAAACTAACAAAAACACACTGGTGTCACAACGATCCCAACCTGCACCGCAGCTGAGGAAACCAATCCGACACCTCACACGTTTTGCACCTCTCTCCAGACCCCCCCCACCCCCACAGGACATCCCGTACCGGCGTTTAAAACCGCTCTCTTCAACCAATCAACCAATCAACCAATCCAGAGGGAGACTTCATATAGAGATATGGTGCCCTGACCCGGATTATCGGATCTAGGGGTATGATTCTCGCTTCGGGTGAGAGAGGTCCCGGGTTCAGAGCCCCGATTGAGCCCCCAGATATGTTACGTCCCCAATATAGCAATATGGCGTAATACCCCTATTGACGTTTCAGCCAGGAAGTGTTCGGAGCAGGGCGGGGGCAGGGTCCCGGAACAGGACAGCGTTTCAGAGCCCGGGAGAGATCGTGTGCCCTGTCCTGCCCCCCACAGGACCACAGCGTCTCCTCGCGACTGGGCAGCGCGGGGCCACAGCGCCCTGAACCGAGCCGCTCTCTGGAGCGGCGCATGGGTCTGGCAGAGAAGGTCCGATTCTGGTTCCTGGAGACACAGCTCGTGCGTCACTGTGTCCAGGGCGCCTCCTCATGGGACAGCCCAGACACGAGACCTTCTTAGCGACAGTGAAATAGTGAAATAGTGAAATAGGAATGCTCCCCCACCCCTGTGTAGGAGGACAAACTGAGTCTGGGCAAACCAGAACCGGCCAGAACGGGTCAGCTCACACTCGGCAAGGAAGCAAGCCAGTCTGCAGCTTCGTCCATCTTCAGCTTCCATGCAGTTCCCACTCCCGACTCTCGCTTGGAATTCTACTGCTAAATCTTCTTCCAGCGCCCAGTCCTGTAAATCCGCACAGAACAGATGGGAAAGGGCTCCGGGCATCAACTATACTAATGGAGGGCAAGCAAACCAGCACCTCTGATACAGTCCCTGACGGGGGGTTAATGCTCAAACGAAGAGCCGGGGGACTCCAAGGTATTGTAGGACACAGGAACCAAGAAACATTGCATCACCGGAAGGGCCGCGAACTTGAACCCTGGCACATGTCAGCGGGGGAGTTCCTCAGGGATCCTCCTTAGGCCCATAGATCTTCCTGACCTGCCGCAGCGATTTAGGCTCCAGTACCGTTACCCAACCAGATAAATTCACAGACGATACAGACGGACCCAGCAGCAGGGCATCCGCAGAGCGGCTGGGAGAAGCCCGTGGGCAGGGCAGACGGTGCATGACATTGTAACGTGGAAAAGTGCGACGTGACCCACACAGGAAGTGCACATGTGGCATGGAGAGAAAACGATACGGGTGTTTGTGCAGTTTCTTCTGGATTTCCATCATGACAGTGCGGGAAAGCAATTTAAAAGCATGCAGAATACTTAGCCATAAAGCACAAAGTGTGCGCTTGAAAGCAAGACCTTAATTAGAACAGTGTGTTCATGTCTGGTCAAGAGACCACTGAAAAGGTACTAATGTCCTAGAAACAGTTCAAATAAGAGCAACAAGAGCTATTCCTGGTCTCTAGGGGACGGTTGTGAATGGTTAAAGGAGGTTAAAGGAACTGAATATTTTCCAGAACAAAGCAGGCCGAGAGCACAAGCCTGCAAGAGTGAGAGGGTTAACTCAAGGGAGTTCTTCATAATCAGCAGGGAAATAAGAATTCAGCATCACAATTAGAGACAAAGAGGGAATTCATTGAGGTTGGAGTACAGGAAACACTTCTTTACACAGAGAGTGGTGGGTGTCTGGAACAGGCTCCCGAGTCAGGTGGTTGTGGCCTCCGGACTGTGGGCTCCTTCAAGGAAATTTAGAATCTCCTGGATATTAAACTGCCGAGACGAGCTGTTTGCAGCCTCGTGCTGCTCTCAAACAGCAGGATCTGAAGCCGGCCCCGGCCGACAGACTGTTTGATCGCTTGCCAGCCACTGTTTATCCCGCAAGCGTCATTCAAACGCGGCTGCGCGGCTGTGGGGACCCCCCTCTCACCCGGGGAATGCGGCCGAGGGGAGGCGCCCGGCTCCTGCCAGCGGGAAAAACTGCCTTGTTTACCGAATTTTAAGATCCCGAGTTTATCCCTTGGCTGCGAGGCACAGGCCGCGCTCCCGGGACGGGGACCACTCCGAACCGCTGCCTCGTCAGCCAGCAGAGGGTTAACACCCCCCATGCGCGCCATGTCAACGGGGCAGTGAGGCATTGGGGCGGGGGGGCGCTGCGAGAGAGAGATTAAGGTGCAAGTGCCCCTTATCTCAACCGCCTCCCCCTGCCCCTCTACCCACTTAACATCAAACACAAGTGGAGCAATTAGAGAGAGAGCTGCCGCGCTTGGCACGCTGTCTGCCTGGGCCCCCAGGGGCTCCTCCATCGCAGGCGAGCCAGTTAAATATTTAACGTGCAGCGCAGGCGGAAAGCGCCACTCTGTAAGGGTCTGGCTCCGAGGGCCGCGGATCGGGGGGGTCTCATCCCGCGCCACGCCAGGGGAGGCTCACGCGGCGGGGTGGAGAGGGGAAGGGATCTCACCGCGGGATCTGCATGGTCTCGTCCGGCCGCAGCACCCCCGAGCTGCCACTCGGTCGGCAGCACTTCAAAGGTAATTGGCGATTCCACGCCTGCAGCTCGCCACTGCGAGCCGCGCGCACAGAGCCACCATTTCTCCGCTCTGGAATACGCTCACAGAGCCACCAGGCGCATTCCTGGCCTTAAAGGAACACCACGCGCAGATGACGGGGGGCTACAGGGTTCGGGGCTGAAAACCAGGAGGCGCTCCTTTACACAAAGAGTGGCAAGTGCCTGGAACAGGCCACCCCCCCCCCACGCCAATCCAGGGATCCTTCAGGAGAGGGCTGGACAAGGTCCTTGGACTTCAGGCACGAATGCAAGCAAAGGAACAAGAGGGGGCAAGCAGCCTCCTGAAGTCTGCAGCTGCAGTGTCGTCACACTTTATTTTTCCCTCCTGTTTAAGAAGGCAGACAGGCCACCAGCTGGAACTATGCATTTTTATTGAGCCGACTAAGGTCCTTGAAGAATGTGCAATCTGTGTAAGCAAGCAGACATTAAGGGTCTGCATCCTACTGCTAAGAATAATGTACATTCGAATACATTCATTCCTGCATCCCTCTTCCTCGACACCACGTTTCAGTCTTTGCTTGGGGACACAGATGGGTGTTTGTTGCTATATGCGACGTTGAAAAAGCTCTCGGGAATGGCTGTGCTGCAGAGTTGCGTGAATGAGGTTCTGCTCACATCCTGGGCGCCTCTGTGATAAACTCATCTCAGAACCTTGCCGAGCTGCACGGTGCTCCATGCTCTCTACCTGCAGACCTGCCTGCTCTCGAGGGTCTTGTATTGGTGGCTTCTGTCACCCAGACAGAAAGGAAAGCGAGGAGTTCCTAGCGGGGTGTCTTCCACTGCTCTGCAAGACTGGGGGGTGACTACAGACCACGTGACCCAGCGCCGGGTGAGCCCAGATCACTCTCCCTCACACACTACCGCCGGGCTCAGGAACGTCGTTGTAACTGTCTCTGCTGGAAGACCGTGGGCGATGATGGCAGGGAATAGGATTTGAGGAAGAGGAGGACATGGAGGGGGAGGGACACAGATGCACAGCAAAGGATAGATGATGGAGATGAGATGATGCACTATAAATGCCAGGACACTTGTTGTGGGGTTGTCTGTGGGCCTCCTGAATTCAAAATGATCAATTTTAACGATCATTACACTGCTATGTAAAGTTTCCAGACAAGAGACTGGAGGTATACAGAAGGAGCTGAATGCAGTCTGCTGCAGTGTTGCACCTGGAGGTGTCCAAACTACGAGTCCCACACGGTGCCGTGAACTCATCAAACAGGGAACGGAGCTCTGGCAGGTCTCCCAGTCGTGCTCCGCTCGCCCGGCTATCATCACAGCCCGGGAAGCAGGGACAACAGTAACTCCTCACCTGCTGAGGCAGAGAAAGGGCACCCAGCCACTAGGAGCCCAGGCCAGCGCCTTCGTGCTGCTGGCTCAATTCTCCCATAATCTGCTCAGCAAGAGACCCCAAACACAAACAGAACCACACTGCACCCCCCTCCTTACACCAGAACAGCAAGTCTTGCTAGGCTTTGATCTCCTCTGCAAAGCTCTCTTGACCTCAGCTAAACTAAGAAATATCAATAATCTTTTTTTTTCCCTCTGTTCAGATGTGATCTTCCCACTGTCTTTGCGCACCTTCAGGCTGACCAAAGTTTGCTCAAGGGGTTTTTTTTTGGTCCAGAGCTACACTGCAAGAAGAACATTTTCATGAGACAGAACACCGAGTCGTCTTTGTCGTTTCAATGGTGTAAAAGTACAGTGACTGCAGTTACTGGGGGGAGGGGGGGGGAGCAGGGAAAGTTTAAAAACAGTGCTTCCTTAGCAAGGACAAAAGTCTGAAAGCAGATCAAAAGCCACAGATGCTACACTGAGGAATCTGACTGTTGTTCAGGCAACAAGTTCAATAATGAACATTAGAAAGGTCACAAGCAAGAGGAGCCATTCAGCCAATCAAGCCCGTTTGGAAGTTAATAATTAACGATCCAAGGATCTCATCCAGTCGTTTCTCCAAAGAAGCCAGAGTGTGGCATTCAACAACATCATCTGGGTAACTTGCTCCATACTCCCACAACCCTTTGGGTAAAGAAGTGCCTCCTGTTCCTGGCTTGCAGTCCACTCTTTCTGCTTTCAGGCTTGTGGCCTGTGCTGAGCTCATCCGGCTGGGGGGGGGAACTCACCCAGGCAGCTGTGGCCGTAGTGCACCATGAAGTCCGCCCCCAGGGCGCGGGCGGTGAAGTCGTCCACGCAGCACGCCCCGTACGTCACGTCGCCCATCACCAGCGTCTCCGCGCCCGTGAACCTGGGGACACAGCCAGAGATAAACCACTGAGACCGGAGAGGAGGCCCCACCTCCCCCGCCAGCGCAGCTCTGTCCTCCACACCGTGCCTGGCTGGGCTGGCAGCGTTAACCCTTTTGGGGCAGGGCTGTGACAGGCGGGACCCAGCGGCCAGAGGGTGAGCTCGCTACGTCTGACCTGCCGGCTGGCCAGGGTGGCACTGGCGATGAAATTAAGATGATGTTACACTTCAGAAATGAGCAACTTCAGATAAAGCTAAGCAAGGCCCAGGTGCAGCTGTTGCAGTATGGTGGTACTGTGCAGCGTTTGTTTGAACAGGTTTCGCAAGAGCTGAATTCTGCTCCGAAACCACTCCTGCTACAGGTGTTACATCTCATACAAACTGGGTTCATTTAGCAGGGAGGAAAGGCTCAAGCTATATTATGTTCACTAGCTTCGTAATGGAGGGAATGCATTGCCTGTTGTGCATAAATCAAACTTCCTAAGAGCACAAGAGGACACCCGGTACCCCCCTGCCCATACATGACCTTTCACGAACCCCGTTTAAAAGATCGCCCCGCTGTGGGGTGCCACTACTCAGGCACGAGACGCACACAGGGCGGCTCTGTGTCCAGAGAGCATCGCTCGTGAAAAAGGGAGACTTTTGAACCCCGATGAGAGGAAACGCCGAGCTCCACTCTAATGCTTTCAGCCTTATCCCCGCTAGCACCTAATTACCAGCTCTAATTAAAATTAATTTCTTTGTCTTCCAGGGCAACCGTAATCTGCCCGAGGTCTGTACGAGCACCGCAGCCTTTAGGAAGAAACGCAGAGCGCGTCGATATCTAAAGCATATTTGTATTGTACAGCCCTTATTTGGATTAACAGATTATCGGAGATGAATTATATACGTCTGTAGGAAAAAAAAATCTGTTTTTTCACTCTGTTTGTTGCACAGCATTATGCTTATCCCAGAGGTGAGCAAATCCGGATTAGGAAAACAGATGCCACAGTGGTTTAACAGAACCCAGGAGCTCAAGGAAAACAGAGTGCGTTATCGGAGAGGCAAAAGAGACCATCAGACAGCACAACAAAAGGCAGAGTTGCAGACTCTCCCCAGCTGATGGGACATATTAGCATTGCAAAACGGGCTCTGGGAGCAGGGAGTTGTGGGAGGCGTTTCCCTGCACCCAGAAACTCTCCCCAGCTCCATCTTGGTGGAGTGGGATCAGGTGAAGGTGGATTGGGAATGGACTGGGAACGGCAAACCGACGTGCGACATAACTGCTTCAACGTGGAATTCTGAGTGGTGAAAAACGGCGAAGGGCTTAACAAACACCGAAAAATCAAATGAAATGGCAGGGAGAGTGGCTGTGAGTTTACCCGCGGTGCCTTTAGGTCGCTGGCAGGCTCAGCGCTCAGAGCTGTGATGAAGGGAGATGTGCCAGCTGTGCAGGAGCCAGCGCATGTTGTAGTCCGCCGTGAGAAGGGAGATAAGCCGCTTGTTTTAGAGAAGGGCCTCATCCATGAAATCCCGCTCTCCCGAGGGAGAGACGAAAGTCCGGTGGGCTGGAGATCGCAGGTCCCCACCTGGGCTTCGCTGGAGGTTCCCATGGGGGGGGCAGGCTTGGCCGTACGACGACAGTCGCCACAGAGAGGATGAGGGCGAGCGGCACAGGAATTCAATCACGCCAAGAGCAACCAGGTGATCCTCACAACTCAGGCAGCTCACCGTACTCGCGGCACTTAAAACCGTGGGTTTCTGAAGGGCTGCTAGAGCAGATTAACCCATTTTGTCGATTCCAACTCAACGGTTGAGCTCCGAAGCCCCGGTGTTTTCCTCAAGCCACGTGACGCAGGTTTAGCGCAGAGATCAACCGGCGTGAACAGGATTAACCGTGCCAGTGGCTTTGCCATGCCAGCTTCGGGAAGAGGCGTTTTTTTCCCGACAGGGCAATGCAAGACCATGCGACGCTGGGACTACCGCGGCACGGCCTGTGGCAGGAAAAGATGTCGAGGGCCTCAGCAGGAGACCAACCTTCCTCAGGGACGCGTTCAAGATCAGGGAGTTCACAAAAGCCAGCTGCGGTATTTTTTTTCGACAATAAGTCATGATGAAAAAATACCGCGGTGGATCTGTGTTTCTGCTTTATATTTTCTACGATTTGGCTTGAAGACCTATGTAAACACTTCACTGACCAGAGCGATGCCTCTAGAGAGACACTGGAGCCGTGCCTGAAGCGAGGAGCGTTTTCAGTGCCACCACCCCTGCCCTGACAGCCACACAGGGCGGGGAGGGGGGAGGGGGGAGATGGGCGTCCTGACAACCATGGCGAGGGGGGGGGTATTCACTTTGAGAGCCGTGGGGAGGCAGAGAGCAGGCGTCCCAAAATCCTGACTCGGTAGGTGGGACCGCGCTGGTAACGTCTTCTCTCGGCCCGGGCTGCTAGCTGGAGGACGCTCGCGTTCAAGCAACGTGATAAATAAATAGGGAGGTAAAAATATAAATAAGAAACAGAAGCCCTCTGTCATTTATTTTCCCTGCTCCCCCAGCACTCTGCCGGTGGTGTTTGAAAGCAGCCCAGTGGAGGCGCAGACATATTGAGGCCAGGCTGAGCGAGTTATTAATAGCCCAGTCTGGCACGAAGAGCGAAGAGATACAGGCGCTGCCGTCTGCCCCACTCGCTCCCTTCCTCTCTCCGTCCCTCCCTGCCCCTGCCCCTCCACCTCCACCCATTCCCTCCCCAGCGTCTCCTCTGCTGGGCCCTGGGGGAGCCCCCCCCCCCACTCTGGCCCGGCTGCTCTCTCCCTCCTCAAGACCCGCCAGTCACTGCTCCAGCTCTTCATTAGCAGCCCCCGTGTTCCTTCCTGGCGGCAGATTCCCGCGCTCCGCTGCTCCGATGGTAACGTGCGCGGATCAGACCCGATGTCTGACGAACGCACCGCTTGCTAAACGGCCCAATTAACACCAGCCGCTCCGCATAAACTACTCCAGGCCTTGTCTGGTGGAACTCCTTTCCACTCCCCCACCCCCCCGATGTTTCCTCTGAACGTCAAAACACTGGAACAGCAATTTGCATATCACCACTACTTCCTGTCTTTCTTCTGCTCTCCCTGGTTGCGACGACTTCGAACAACACTCTCCTGGAGAGCCAGAGCCCGGCAGGTCTGGAGCCAAACCTCTGACTTCAAGCAAACGTCTCACATGGACTGAAATACACAGACCAGGCTCACCAGCGGGCGCCTGATGGAGAGACCTGCTCACTTGCAAATACTGCTAACGCGCCCAATTCATGGAGGACACCTACAATTGATCTTGTGGGAGGCGACGCCAGATGAAAACGTCAGGAATCGCCTTCTTTTAAAAGCCTTATAAATGAAGCAATCAAGACAGTCGTGGGTTCGAAGCGTTACGGTGACACATTCACGAGTCCGGCTTCAGGAGCTCGTTCCCCATGCGGGGTGTCAGGGCACCCCTGCCTCCGGAGGCCCAGCAGCGTCCCGGGGGGGGGGGGGACCCTGTCCCCACCCCGGCTCCGGCTGTAGGTGCAGAAACCCGCCTCCCCCCAGGGCGCACAGCGGAGGCCGGTGCCTGTTGTAGTCCGCCGTGAGAAGGGAGATAAGCCGCTTGTTTTAGAGAAGGGTCTCATCCGTTGAATCCCGCTCTCCCGAGGGAGAGACGAAGGCCCGGTGGGCTGGAGATCGCAGTTCCCCACCTGGACTTCGCCACGGGTCCCATGGGGGGGGCAGGCTTGGTCGTACAACAACGCAGCTGCCACACCGAGGGAGAGAGCGACACAGCCCCGACACAGGCGCCTGAGTGAACCAGCAGGCTCACAGCCAGCCAGCCTGCCTGCCGGCCACACCCCCCCGGCTCACACTGGATCACAGGCACAGGGAGATGCAGGACAAGCTCATCAGTAATTAAAACAGCAGCGCTGCCCGTGTTGGGCTCCAGATCTCCTGACGCTGGATTAGTGCCGTGACTTGTTCATGGTCTCTCTGCAGACACCCCCGCTGGCAGGAGCCCTTGACCCCCGAGAAGCTCCAGCGCATGAATATTAACGCCGGAGCCGGGGACCACAGGGGCCGGCGGAGAGGAACACGGACGTGAAGCTGCCGCAGAGCCGGTCCTCGGCTCCTGATTGGCCCCGGACGCCCGGAGCTCCGCTGCCTCCTCCCTCCCCGGCGCAGAGCTGATCGGTATGGGAGCCGCGGTGCTTCTGCCTCGCGCGCGCTTAATTGCTCAGACTCATGTGAAGGACGTTACAGCCGGGCTGAGCTTAATAGGCAGAGGAAAAGGAGAGGAAGCGCTCGCCTAGCAAATAAATATTTGCTTTAACAGATTTGATTCCTTAATCTAGAGAGTTATGCGAGTCAGTGCGTGTGTCTGCCGGAGCCTGAGTGTGTACAGAGGGAGTGTCTGTACAGAAAGCAGACATTTACAGGCACTGTATAAAGGAGTATATATAAAGACATTTAAAACACACATTAACACCCAGACTGAGTGAGCTCCAGAAGCACAGTCTACCCCGTCTTGAGTCAGTACTTATGAGGTGCAACTTCCACTTTCAGTGTACTTGTTACAGTCTGGATAGGAATATTCAAGTAATTGTGAATTTAGTAATGGCTGATCTACAATTAGTTAAGTGCTAGTTGATTTGTCCCTGGCCAGACATGTTTAAGTGTATTTTTAACTAATATTTATATTTAATTATGATGCAGGGCTCTTGCTTACCCCCTTTTGGGCTCAGTCTGGAAAGGTGCCCGACCTCTGCTGTCCGGATGCAGAGAAAATCTACTCTTCCCAATGGGGGAATGGAACCACGACAAAATTTGACATCAGCAACAAGCACGTTCGTAACGCCTGGCGGAGCAGAATTGTTCTCTGGGATAACAAAATCGCGAAGCTCGTGTCATGTGACTTTACGAACGAACCGGGGATTCGGGGGGGTCTGCTGTGGTCTTGTCACCCTCAGCACGCCGCACAACAGCGCCCCCTGGAACCCCTTGTGCCATCAGT